TTCTTTGGAGTATATTTCATGGTAAATATTTCAACATATTTCATAGATATTTTTAATATTAAAGAAGGAGAGATAGGGAAAAAGAAAGACAAAGAGAAAGCCTCAAAAAAAACTCAAGGCAAAGTTAGACACAACCTTCAACTGCCTATTTTGTAACCACGAAAATAGTGTTGACTGTAAAATGTAAATGTCACTTTAATGTATAAGAAAGGGGGAGACGGGATAATTGACGACTTATTATATAGTGATCATGCAAACAAGTTGGGTCATCTCAACTGTAAAGTATGCGCAGTTAATTGGCAGTGTCCGATCACTTGTAAGTGAATTATTCTAAACCTATTATACACATCTAAAAACATTTCAACATGTATAGATCTGGATGAACCAGTAGACGTTTATTCTGCGTGGATTGACGCATGTGAAGATGTGAATCAACGAAAGCGACTTGAAAGATCAAGAAATGGTAGAGAAGAAGTGCGATCTCCACCCCCGGCTTCTTATGATGATGACGACGACTAATAACTGTGGTCATTTTTAACATATAAAAAAGAAAGGAAATAATAAAAATACGTTGTATATATATATGCATGTACATATATTGAGAAGGGAAGGACATATCAGTGGATCTAATCTAGTCATATAATGCTCTCCTCCCCTTCCTTTCCTCTTCCCTTCTTCCGAAATGGATATTTTTATTGCTGAGCACAACGAATACCGCCTTGGTCTTGATCTTCGTCTTCGCTATCATCTTCATCATATGCGTTACGAGACTGTGTTGATGCACCAAAACTCTCCATGTTAGCATTCATAAGATGACATTCATCAACAATGTCATGCTTTATTGATGTGGCTTCTCTCTTGGGTAAGATGGTTTCTAGTTGCTTCAGTTGCTCGATCGCAGCAAAGTGATCATCGGGGAATTCGACATCAAATTCAACATATAAATCACCACGGTTCTCGGGACGCTTGTATGTTGGCATACCTTCATTGGGTATACGTTTCACAGTACCAGGCTTGATGACATATCCAGGTTCATGTTTTACTTGAATACCACGTCCATCAAGATGTGTAACAATAACCTTGTCAAAACCGCAGAGCGCTTCTGTCAATGAAATCTTTACTTTGCATAGCAGATCTGTGCCTTTGCGCTCAAAGACTGCATGTTCTTTTTGATCCAATACAAGGATAACATCGCCAGGCTCGATTCCAGGCTAAAGAATCATTAAGTATATGCATACAATTATATATAACGGCCATACCTCTTGATCGCCTTCTCCCTTTTGAACAATCTTTTGTCCATGAGTCATACCCTTTTCAATATAGATATCAAGGAATTTCTTTTCTACAGTCACTTTCTTGCCCTTGCATCTTTTACATCTATCCTTGGCTATTTCTCCTGTACGTCCACAGTCGTCACAAGGAATTTGCATCTGCTGAAGCATGCCCATACCCACTTGACGCATGGCTACCTTAAAGCCTCGTCCATTACAGGTAACACACTTCTTGGTAGCACCCGTCTTACCGCCCTTACTATTTACACACACAAATATTAGTATTCTTTTTTTTA